ATCTCCCACTCTACATGTTGTATTGGAAAAGAAAAAAAAAAAACTCAAATTCAACAGCAAAATAAGATAACCTAAAAAAAATTAAGTAAATAAAAACATTTAACACAGTTGAGTGAATATCACGGCCTGAAAAAAATAAAATTAAAAGCTCATGTAAGTTATTCAGGCCCATTTTCTCTCAACACGGCCCACGGATGACGGTGCGGCCCAATCCGTACTGTTCTGGCTTTAAGCGCAGCCGTGGTCTTAAATTGAAAAATACGAAAGAAGAGGGAAAAGGAAATGATGATCTAATTTCATGATTAGACTATAGTTTATGTGGAAAACGCGTAGCCTTATTGTGAGAAGATTATGAAAACTTTTTGGTGCATGTATGTAATAATATTTAGGGTAAATTAATCGAAATTGTTACATACGTATACATATTATTAGACGATGCATGTCAATCATACACGTCCCTCTTAATCGATGGTATTTTGATTTTATCTCGTTGAGGCTGCATTCTTTTACATTTTTAATACTGTGGATCACTCGATAGTTTTGAATCTGGAGACTTGTTCATTTTGTTTAACCGTAAAATCCACCAATTTCGGATCTGCGAAGGTTGAAGTACCTGCAAACTGGAGTTAGTACTTTAATGCTTTTATCAGTACGCAAAGAGCTATATTTATAAAGGTGAGCTCGTGATAAGGCTTCCGATAGTACTCCAACGGCTCTCCGACTACCCGAAAAACACGACGTGTAGTTGGAGAACATTCTCGTTGTTTTTGCACCTGCTAGTGTTGTTCGAGGTTAGCTTGTACCTAATGAAACGGTGATCCGCCGCATAGCTCGACTTTTGTCTATTGAGCGAAAGGACTTTGATCATTCTAAAAGTCTCGATAGACTCTTCCACTTACTTTACTTAAAACAATTTCTAATGTTGACATGTGGCAGATGATAATTTACCTCCCACACATGTTACCATATGTAGTTGTTTAAAATATCATTAAATACGAAAATTGATGGTCGACGTGAACTACCCAGGATATTGAAATAAATTCATCGCATGATTATCTTGGAATTTTATTTTTTTAACAAATAAAACAATTGTAAAGTTTTGAGATGGAATATTACTAAATTGGGTTTGTTTGATCAGTATTTTTTTTTATTCAAGATAGCTTGTTATTTGTTTAATTAATATGTTCTGATTTTTTTGATTGATGCATATTAATCAATTTTTCAATGGATGTGAAATGACTCAAAATTGTTTAGACATTAATTTATTATAAATTGATAATCTAGACATTGATTTGACATGAAAAAATGGAGAAGATAAATTAAAATCAATAGTCACAATAAAAAATAAAGCGAATTAGAAATTAGATTAGATCCATAATTAATGCATTCATAAAAAGTGAACAAGAAAATAAAGATAGTGGAAAATGAGGATTGATAGTCAAACTTATCGACTTTCAATTCTAGACATGTGTCTGCTGGTAGTACGATGTCACATCGAAATTTGCATGAAACCCATCATAATTGCAACGTGTCAGTACCTTATTCCTCTACGTCTTACAACATGTCTTAACTAAAGTATGTTAGTTTTCATGTGATTTGAAACAGTCATTTTGATTTATTAATTTTTAATTTGTGTAGAATAAATATATTCATCAATTATTATTCTTTTAACCTTTTAGGTATATTTTTTTGGCTTTCTTCCGATCTCCTGTCGTCTAGTTGGATTTCGTTTATTTCTCTATAATATTTTTCAATATTGATAGTAGACACCCTTGCTCTACATAGATTATGTAAGAGACCGCTGTAACATGACCGAAAGTTATACATTATTGGATTTTATCACATAGAAACTATAAAAGTACCTTGAATATATATTTAGTAGTTATTAGATAAGATAGATTTTCAAATCTTTATTAAGAGTGTTCACTTTCTCCATGGACGGGTGGTCCCCTCACTTAAATCGGATGAGAGAACAGATTTCCGACTTCATCCCATCCTAGTTTTTTAATATATATATACCTATATACATACATATTGGTTTTATTAGGGATTTAATAATTTTCAATTTAAATGGGGAGAAATTTAACTATGGAATTAAGCATTTAATTAGAAATTTCAGAAATTTGTCTCAATATTTTGTTTACGAAAATTTATAACAAAATATTACTTATATTTCTGCATTTCATTCTCTATTCGGCCCGCCTCAAACAAAATGAGAAAAAAGGAGAGCGACACGATCGTATGAGGTCACAATTCACCCAACACGATCATCAGGGGTGAACAAGAATTGGGGATCGGTTTCATTATTTATTTAAAGAGATAGCAATGATAAACAGAGAATTATTCCCTACATGATCTCCTTGAATTTTCTTTTCTCAGTATTCATATAACAATTAATTATTAAGGATAACGGTAGTTTCATTTCAAAATAATTCTCAACCACCCATTTTTATTACAGTTGAATTGAATGTTTACGTAATAACTAATATATATGAAAAATTTTAACGAAAAAAATGGTCAACAAATCCTTTATATTTTATTATAACTCTATAATATATTTTATTTACAAACTTTTTAAGTATTAGCCAAATTAGAATGAGTTTTCAAAACCTCCTAGGAAAATAATTCGCAGTAAAAACAAAATACACTTGACTAAAAAAACCCCGATTGGTTGGTGTATTGGCTTTATGGTAATAGGGTCGAAAAGTATGACCTTGACTCGATTGATGAAATAATATTTTTCTCAAAAAAAGAAAAGCATATTTGGAATTGTCATAATTATTGGTAGGTCATTTTCCACGTCACCCACCTAAACTGTCCTGATTTTTAAAAAAAGAATTATTGTAATATATTTGAATTTGTTGATTTGATCCCAAACAGAATCGTTAAAAAGTAAATACGGTGTGAGGAATAGAGAGGTAAAATTGAAAATAAAACTCCTTTATGACCATTACAATTATTAAGTATAGTCCCCAGTAATTGTACCTTAAATAAATATATATTTATAGTAACAAAATAATTACCAAATGACTCTAAATTGTTTGGCTAAAATATGATAATCAATATTAAATAACTTTAAAGTCAGATTATTTACATCATTTTTCTATTCATATTTTGATGGTTTATAATTTATCTCGATGGTAAATTCTTTGTTGATAAATGATAATATCACATTGGAATTTATGGACATAGGATAATGGTCAATTGGCCATCCAAAAAATAATAATAATAATAATAATAATGATAGTAAATTACAGTTGAATAATTATATATAGAGAGATTATGTACATACATAACAATATTAGTTTTTTTTCGAATGTTATACATTTTTCCCCATTTTAGGTAGAATTCTAGATTACATTGTAAGAGTCAGTAAACTATTTAAAAACTAAAACTAAATTGTTAATCAATTTTACCAAAGGTTTTTTTTTACAATGATTTATGGGAGATCAAACCTCCAACCTTGCGAGAAGGAATATATGCAAATTATCGTTGACTATGTTTAGAGTTTCGTATTAGCCAATTTTACCAAGTTATAATTTAGGGTGTAACAGTTCAAAAATTAAAATAACTCATTTACCTAGTAACAATTCCAAAATCTAAAATAACTTAGACGAATTTACTTTGTTCAAAATGCTTTCTAAATAGACATTAGCCAATTACCTGAACATAGTTCTTAACACACCTACCTCCAACAGAAAATTTATGAGTTTGGAATCTCACCAACTTTATATTAAAAAAATTAAGAATATATTAGACAAATTTATATCGACAAATGAAAATTACAAGGATGAGTGCTTTTAACCAAGTCAATAATTATTACTCTAAAAAAACATGTTATTATTATTATTATTATTATTATCATTATTTTCTCTTTGATGCCAATTTTCGAGTAGGTGCTACGTGAATGTCACGTACGTCTTTATCTCCTAACTCAAGGCTCACTTACACGTAAAAATTTAGCACCAGTGTGGTACTTCTCTCGAATGCATTTTGATTCCTAATTTAGTACTTAAAATGGGAGCAAACGTGTATGGAGCAAGTAGAGTAATTATATGGATTTCAATGAGAACTTGCTTGGTGTGGGTCAAGAATTCGCTTTAGAGTTTGCATAGGAATTATTGCGAGTATCTAGATTAGGATTTCCATAGAGTTTTTATATAGAGAGGGAGTGACCAAGAGAAATTATCGTTACGTTGGAACCACTGACACTCTCGTTATATCTGTGCATTGCATAGAAGCGTGACGACATTTTGAACGATTCTATAGAGCATGTCACAATTCAGACGCAAGATGTCAGCGCCTCATTCGCTGGCTGTCTCCCATACAAACTGCCCAAATGCACTCGACCCTTTGGGTTGGTGCACTCGAGTTGGTACCCAATACGCTCAACTTCTTTTATTTTGCATCGTTTGAGTATTGTCCATGTAGCTCACTTGGAGTCTAGACAATGTCGTCTTAGATTTACTTGATAACAATTAGTATTATAATCATAAAATATACTTACCAATTACCGCATGCGGAAATAAGAGGTGAATATGATCCTTTATTTTTAGTACATAACATCATAATTATTTTTTTTTGAATAATACTTTCTAATCTCTATTATTATATTTAGTTAAACAATACATAAAAGAGTGAGAATTCCAACTTTAACAATAATACATGCCTTAGTTACACTTCTCTTTTAAGTTCATTCATTTAATTATTGTACGCAATCGGATTTCGTTTTGATTAAAAAATAGAAAAAGAAAGCTCACTACTTAAAGAGGGAATATTAGGAAAACAATTATTATATGCATCAGCTTTTGTTTTGTTATTAAAACTGGATGTTAACTAGAATTTAAGAATTGTATAAGAAAAAAAAAATTTAAGAATAATTTTAATTGTACAGGACAGGTTAAAACTTAAAATATATTATAGTATTAGATACGGAATCACGATATTTTGTTTTAATTTAGGATTAAAAGTTAAACTTACTTTAAGACCTTCCAAAAAGAAGGCCCCGCCAGCCCGACCCAGGCAGGCGGCAGCCACCGTCCATCGTAAAATTTCAGCTGAGGAAAAATGGAGAGAGAGAAAGAACAATGAGTCAAAGAAGACTATAATTGAGCTCTGCTAATTGTCCCTTCCCCTGTATCTTAGTACCAATCGAAATTCCGTTCGTAATCAGAAATCTGCCATAATCGCCTCCATTTCTTGTTTCCTGGTACTGCTACTTCGTTTCTCCTTCTCCAGTCTTGTTTGCTCGCAGGTAATTTTTCGAGAATTTGATGCATTTTTTTGGTTAGGTTCAGAATCTGATAGGAATCATCGATGTCTCTCTCCATGAAAGTGGACGTTCCAGGAACCCTCGTTGGCTCGGAGATTCATGGTTTCCATACATTGCAAGGTACTGTTATGATTATAGCCTGTTTGGAAGTACTGATAGGGTAGTAATTTTGGACGGCTGTCGGCGTATAGGTGTTAAGGTTTAGCGCTCTTGAACCGCGACAGTGTTTTCTTGAAGTTATGTGTACCGGCAAGATAGTGGTTAGGAAGACTTCTCTTTTTTCTCCGTTTTTGGACGAGAAAAATCAACGTGCTGCTAACTGCTATGCCCAATGGCGTATGATACTGTTAATGCAATTGGTATTCGACGAATGACTTGTTGTAATTTCTTTATGATTTTTTCAATCCGGGGGAATAAAATTTTCGTCATGTAGGAGGTGGTGGAAATGAGCAAGTATATATTCCTTGCAACGTCTTAATTATACAATCTCAAAGAAAATAGGTGTGAGCTACATCAGCGAGAAGAATAGTAGAGAGTGACGAATTCCTTTCCGTGGAAGCTTAGAGTTTTGATGAGAAAGAAGGAAGCACTTGAAATATCTGAAGAAACATTGAAGTTTTGACTTCTAGTAGATACTTGGCTAGGGGGAAAAGCTGTTGAATTATTTAAAGGCAAGGAAAAGCTATCATTTTAGGTTAAAAAATGCCCATGACTGGATGCTATAAGCGTTAAGAACATTGTGGTCACAGTTAACACAGGCTATCGACAGAATTATCACCCCTAAGCAGGGGATCCTAATAACCTTTATTGGGTGGGACCTGAAATTTTTGACGAATTCATGTACGACTTATGGTTCTCACCACCTTAAATTTGAATGGCTATTCAAATTATCTTTAACAATTCACGCCTAGTATTCATGTTACCTGCTTTCCAAAACTACTATCTCATCAGTGTTTGCCATTCTGTGAGCAGATTTGGACGTTAAAAACATCAGAGAGGAAGCAAGTGCAAGATGGCTACGCCCAAATGAAATCCTTGCAATACTATGTAACTACAAATATTTCATCATCCATGTCAAGCCAGTGAACTTGCCCAAAAGTAATTTCACGAGATAATGCTTGTGCAACTATTAATGACTATCTTACCACTTGTTATAAGTCATGCTCACAGAAGTTTACTGTTTAATGTCTGACACAACTTATATCAAATACAGTTATAAGTCTTCTTTGCATTTTGTATGACTCACATTTATCCTTCCATATTGAGTAATATGGGAAACGAGTGTAAGTAGCAATGACGCAAAAATTTATAATATTGGAAATGCACAACAGGTGGAACCATTGTACTGTTTGACCGCAAGATGCTTAGGAATTTCCGCAAAGATGGGCATAATTGGAAGAAAAAGAAGGATGGGAAGACAGTAAAAGAAGCACATGAACACCTCAAAGTGAGTATTTCTTGTTTTGATTAGATGGTTGCATTTATGCTATGTGATCAATTTAATCTTTCCCCTTTGAAATGTTTAAATGAGGAACATGTCAATCTAAAGAATGGTTGAGTATTGGATTACAATATGTTGCCCTAAGCTTTTGGTGTCAAGTGAGAGATTGAATCGTGTTTGTGATGAATTTTTTACGTTGAAGTCAATCAACTATTTCTAAATGCATTGTTGGAATTTGTCTATTGGGGACATAAAGTTTTGAGTGATCAATGGTTATGTAGCTTGATGCTTTTGCTTATTGTAACATAATTTGGTAAGACGTAAGGAAGGATGGGTCAGGTTATTTACCAATTTCCCACTAGCTTAATTATTACCATCTAATAGTTGTGTTACGGATTTGTGTGTTATTGTAGACTAGAATTTATATGTCATTTTTCCTTACAAATTTGAAGTAGTTTCTATTTTTTCTACTAAATAATTATATTTGTTTAGAGTATATTAAATGATTAGATTGAACATAGTTTATCGGCCTAAGCATTTGGGTCTTTTGTCTATTTAACATAGTATTGGAGAAAAAAAGTCCTGAATATAAATCCCTCTAATGTTATTCCATATATGGTTTCAATTTTCTCTAATACCCTCTTCTACTTATCATGTCTCGTTAATCAAATTAATATATGAGCCTACACATGAAGGAAAGTGTTCTAAGTATATCAAATGGTTAAATTTATTATAACCAGACTCTTGAGTCTGTTGGCAATTTGACCATATAACTGAGTTTTAGTCGTGATATGATCATATGGTTAACATCAAGTATTAATTGTGTTTGGCTTTGTGGTAATTATTGTACTGTTATGTATTAATCACCAAGAAAAGCTTTTTTTTTTTTTTTTGATAAATTGTGCTTTTTCTTTGGCAGGTTGGTAATGTAGAAAGGATACATGTATACTATGCCCATGGCCTTGATAATCCAACCTTTGTCCGTCGGTGTTATTGGCTCCTTGATAAGTATGTTGTAATTGAACTTGCATTGGTATATTGTTCACTACCAGTTCTTTCAATGTTCTAACTTCTATCCCCATCTTGCCACAAGCAAAGAACAGAAAAGATAGTGCCAGTGGCAATATATTATGTCATATTTGTACCATCTATGACTTATGTTACTTTTTGTTCAGGAGTCTCGAACACATTGTCCTCGTTCATTACCGTGAAACACAAGAGGTTGGTTTCAGCAGAACTCATCTGAAATTACTGAAATATTGGCCATGAGATGGCCTTTTATTCTTTGGACTACTAAATCCATTTAAGATTTGCTGATTTTGCCTCCATGGCTGAGCTGTTTTCTTTTTCTTTGAAAACAATGGTGTCATGTATGTCTATGAATTTTTACCGGCACAATATAGCAGTCTTGCGTTGCATTCCTCTCTCTGTTTTCCACCTCCCTCCTTTGGATTGGGAAGAGGATTGGGGATCTTGAAACCCTGGCTGAAATAATGGTCAAGTAATATCTACTTCCCAGTTCTCACCATGCAAAAATTGGATAATTACCTGTTTGTGTTGTATTTCGATGATTTAATACAACAAAATTAAGGATAAAGTCAACCATAAAATTTATATGTTTGTTACTCTACTACTATTTAAACATTTTGTGATTCAACTTACTGTACGATTACTGCCTTTGGGTTTCTCTTATTGCAATTGCAATTTCTGTACCAATTTTATTACTCCTCTGGCTTAATTCTCACAAATAAAGGCACTGCCTAGATGTGGAGTGCTGGATGGAAATTCAAGTGATGAGTGATTCTCTTTATTCTGATGTGCATATATTTATCCCTGAATGGAAAAAGCAATGATCATAATGCTATTTGATGGGAAAATTTTAGTAGGTCAGATGAACACTGTTTTCATATGTATCGACTCTGTGGTGCTTCATGGGATGGATGGATAAAACTTCCTAACATTATGCACGTGGTATCAGTAGCATGCACTCGAGCACTTCATGAACAACTTCTTCCTATTAATTTTCTGTATTGAAAATGAGTTGCTGTACTAACTTCCTATTGCTCCTAGTTGCAGAGTTCTCCATCCACATCTATGAATTCAAATTCTGGTTCTGTCTCTAACCCGTCTAGTCCTTGGCTTTTATCAGAAGAACTTGACTCCAGGGCTAATCATGTTTGTTCTGTTGGTAAAACTGAACTGTCAGGTGATGGCATGACGTTGGCGTAACCTGTCAAATTTTATTTTTTGTTTTGTACTTTGTTTGATGATATATATATATTTTCCATGTTTCTATCTATTAGAGCAAACTTGTAGTTTATTTTTGCAATTTTCTGGTACATTTAGGGTATATTTGGGAGTTGTTTTTAACCATTTAAAATTTTTTAAATGATTAATGGTCAAAAGCATTTTCTATTACATATATATATATATATTGTCCATGTTTCTATCTATTAGAGCAAACTTGTAGTTTATTTTTGCAATTTTCTGGTGCATTAGGGTATATTTGAGAGTTGTTTTTAACCATTTTAAAATTTTTAAATGATTAATGGTCAAAAGCATTTTCTACTTTTAGTTATCTACAATTTGGAAAAAAATTTTCAGAAAAGCAAAAAAACACTTAGAAATGTTTTTCAAAGAAGTGATTGATAGGTGCTGTATCAGGTGCATTTGGCTCTCTTTCATTTGTTCTCGATGAAAGTTTTTCTTTTCATAAAAAAAAAAAAATCAGGTGCTTTTTGGGTTTAAGCTTTATCCCAATCTTTCACAACACACTTTCTCTCACTAATTACTCTACCCACATTCTTTCACTATTTTTTTTTTTTTTATAAGAAACCGAACTTTTCATTGAGACAAATGAAAATAGAAACACATATAAAGGGCACACAAAAGTAAAAGTCCAGGAGGAGCCCTACCTAAAAAAAGGGGCGTCCCATACAAAGAATAAAACCTAAATGATAATTACAAAACAACTTTGAAACAGAACCCCCATAAAGAGACGTTAAACCTAATGAGATCTAAATAGACTTCCTATCTCTCTCCACCCCTAAAGATTATGTTGTTTCTGTCCAACCAAATCTCCCACAAAATTGCAAAGAAATAAGCCTACCAAAAAAAAAAAACTCCCTTTCTCTCGGAATGGAGTAGCAAAAGTACTTCCTCCACCAGAGCTCCCCAATCTCTACGAGGAACTCAGGGCACCTCGAAAATCTCAAAGAACCGGTCCCAAATATCTTGGAAAAACTAGCAATGCCATAATATGTGATCAAGATGCTCCGACTTTCACTGATTAGTTTCTCTTTACACACTTTCACTGATTTTTCTCTTCACACTCTCCCATTAACTTCTCATTACCCAGATTCCTTTTTTTTTTTTTTTTGATAAGAAACAAAATAAATGTATTCAAATCAAGAAGGCCCCTAAAGGGAATACAAACAAAAGGCGGAGGGTAGAGCTAACCCTCCCCAAGCTCTATACAATCACCGCTTTCTAATCTTATGTAGCAAAAGAAGATTGTAGTTACAAAAAAACTTTCTTGTGTAGTAAAGCCCACCAAGAAGTTAGAAGCTTAATATTCACACAAAAAGAATCTAACAAAATCAACTTATCTTAGAAAAGCCGACTATTCCGTTATCCAGATTCATCTCCTTGTACATACATTTTCTCACTACCATTTTCCTACGTACATATTTTCTATCTAATTCCTCGCTTTATCTCACATCGTAGTTCCTCTCAGTAGTCTCTTTCTACTCATACACCCTCTCAAACCAATCTCCCTTTTCCTACACACTTTCTCTCTAACTTATTTGATTCTTTCCTAATATTAATTGTTTTTGTTTTGGATTGCCAATTTTAGAATTATTTATTCTGCGAATAATAATAATTCTAAAAATCACTTCCAATGAGATAAAACATAATGATTGAGTATGAATATCTTTTTTGAAGTACTTGTTATGGAAGTACCTTTGACGAAGTTAGTTTTTTTAAGAGCTCTCGACACCCTTAAAGTTCAATCCTTTTGGTTTGCTTGTGCTCTCAAACATGACAAAAAGTTGACATTTCTATTATACATGGATAATGAACAGAGCCTAGTGACACTGCAACAGTCATGACTCACGAACAACGGCTTCATGAGATCAATACACTTGAGTGGGATGAACTTCTTGTGACAAACGAGCCTTTCAACCCTGTTATACCTAAAGGAGGTAACTAAAACAAAGTTCTAAATGAGGCAAAAACAACTTGCTGAATTAGATAAGAAGTGGCTAGATGACTAATTCTATTACTTTTTTTCTTCTCGTCCACCAGAAAGACTTTCATGCTTTGACCAACAGAATGAAGTCCCAATAAATGTGAGTAGAGTTATTTACTATTTCAAATTTCTGCTTCTGTTTGTTACCTTGCCCTTCCATCTTCTCTTTCTTTCTTTCTTTCTTTTTATTTCATTTTGTTTATTGGAGCATGTTACTCTTCAAGGCTAGGTTTGATTCCCAAGCTGGTTGGTGGTAGATTTTGCTTCAGTGCTTCACTTTGCTCTTCCCTGATTTAAAAGTGATAAATAAAGTTGATATATAATCATTGGTAATTTTGTTTGGTTTTATTACTTGACAATATTGTTATCAGACAATTGGCTGCTGATGTTGAACATTTTGTCTCTACAAAATTTAATATAGGCATTTAAAGTTTCTTCTTCTCTAGTTGTTATGGCCTTATATATGAACTCTAATCATCTATCTTTGCAGGTGGCCATCAATTTATTTGGGGACATGTCTTCACTTAATAATCCAGTTGAGTCAGTTGGTAGTACCAACAGCAATATCAGTTTTTCGGGGAGTACCAATATGTCATTAACGGGTGGTCAAACGAATTTGAATGTGAAGAGTAAGGGATCTGTTCCAGTAAACTCTGTTAATACATATGGCAATTTGTTAAATGATGGATTGCAAAGTCAGGACAGCTTTGGACGATGGATAAATGAAGTCATCACTGAATCTTCTGGTTCAGTCATTGATCCTGCTGTTGAGCCTCCCATTTCACCCATGTACAATTCCTATACTGATCTGGCATTAGATCATCATCAATCTTCTGTTATGGAGCAAATTTTTAACATAACTGATGTCTCGCCTGCGTGGGCCTTTTCTACAGAAAAAACAAAGGTTTTCCCTTCTACTAGTACCAACTTCACTCATTCATATTTCCTATTACTTATCTGACCTTAGATCACCTTCATAATGTAGGTGTTTATCAGGCTTTTTGCTATTTCTTCTTGTGCAGGCACAAGAAGCATTCTGGTTATGTTACTTTATTATTATTGTTATTAGTTAGGTTAAAATCCTATTATGGTTTCTGAATTGTAACTCTAACTTTATTTTGGTATGTTAACTTTCCAACATTTTTTTTTAGATAAGAATTTCTGTTTCAGTTTGGGGTCCTTTTTTCTTATAAATATTATCCTTGTCTTTGTTTATGTCTCGGATTGGAACAATAACTTTGTATGGAAAAATTATTTCAATCCTTTCCATTAGTTTTTTCATAGACTACTCAACCATCCCTAACATAGGCACATATATTGCTAATTGAGCTTATAAATAGATGTTTACATGGACAAGTGTTTGATGCCTTATGTGGTAGGTAAGATGTTGGTTTTCCAAACAAATTTAAGTTCTGGTTGATTGATTAATGAAGAATTAAATTAACAGTAAAGACTAAAATAGTTTTTTATACAAAATTAACGGACAGATGGAATATTTGAAGGATTGGAAACAAAACAAAACAAGGATGAAAGTTTGGGACCAAATAGTATTTAGACCTTCTTTCTTCTTCTTCTTATTGTTTTGCATTCTTTGTGATAAAAGGAATTTTTTCATCAAATTTTTTAGAGGTGAGGAAAGTTCGTCAAAATTTTGAGTGCTTTCTCTAACGAGGAACCAAAAAAACTGTGTTACTTTTTTAAGATTGTAATTTCTATTTGTGATTGAATTTTCCACTTCTATCCTTACAACATGACTGAAGTAGCCGAATTAACAACTGTATAAGTGATATCATTGATGAGTTTATGGAAATGCATAACCACTTTTACACTATTACAAACAGAGATGCTTTGGCTATATATACAAATAGTTGTTTGTGCCATTCCTATTTGAAGGGGGCTTAAGCATCGTCTCCGCTGGTTTTGTTGATAAGACTGCTTGCTGGCTGTTTCAATACTACAAAGACGACTGTTTTCTTTTCCTTTTTTTTTCCTTGTCTCCCCTTGGTTGCTTAAATTAAGTCTATGGTTCTCTTATCAAAAGAAGGAAAGAAGTCTTTGATTGACCTATTTCTCGTAGATGTTCCAAATAGTCCCATTAAAGATCTACAGTAGCTGAAGTAAACTCTCTTTTTAACTCGTTGAGGTAGACCAAGTGAATTAAATAATGCAGATATTCTTTGAGTTATTAATTTGGTACATGTAATAGTACTCTTCCCTATGAATCATCATAGTTTTTAATCTAGGCTAGGTTGTTTCAGCCAACTACCACTTATCCTCTTGAATATTTAGATAATATTCATTACTCATTTAGTACAATTGGTTTTTGAATTTTATTGATGGAATCTTGTTGCTGCCGATGTGAACATTCAACAACTGAAATATTGTCCTTCAGTTTCATTTTTGGGTTATTAATTTATTTCTCTCATAATCAATATTGTGAACATGGCGGATCAAAACTCATTATTAACGTGAAGTGCAAATGTTTTAAAAGTAAGTCATTTAAAAAGTATAGACCACCCCACTTTCCTATTCATTTCATGGGTTTCAAGAAGCTTCACAGTATGATCTTTTCATTTTAAGATTGAAATGGAGTTTCAAGAATAGCTTGGGGGTTGTTTATTATTTCTCTTGTTGATTTGACGAGTTTGCATGTTAGTGTTATACATTCAGGATGGTGGAATACACCATCTTGCTGCCAATAACCCGCTTTATCTGTCAAACATACTAATGATATTCATTGTACTAATTGCAGATTCTAATCACTGGATTTTTTCACAATGAGTACGTACATCTGGCAAAGTCCAATATATTGGTCGTGTGTGGTGATACTAGTGTTAATGTTGATTTTGTTCAACCTGGAGTTTATCGCTGTCTGGTACAGCCGCATTCACCAGGACTAGTACATTTCTTCGTGAGCTTAGATGGCCACAAGCCTATTAGTCAAGTTCTGAATTTTGAGTATCGTGCACCACATTTACAAGAGCTTGTAGTTGCTTCAGAACAGAGCTACAAGTGGGAGGAGTTTCAAGTTCAGATGCGACTTGCTCATCTGTTGTTTTCTACGTCCAAAAGCCTGAGCATCATGTCGACTAAATTGACACCCATTGCCCTGAATGAGGCCCAAAAATTTGCCGTCAAAACTTCTGACATTTCTGATAGTTGGATTTATTTGTTGAAGTCAGTCAAAGAAAATAAAACTCAATTTCCACAAGCAAGAGATGGTGTTCTTGAGATCATTTTGAGAAGCAGGTTAAGGGAATGGTTGATAGAAAGAATCGCTGAAGGCTCAAAGAAAAGCACTGAGTTTGATGTTAAAGGTCAAGGAGTATTCCACTTGTGTGCCATATTGGGATATACCTGGGCTGTACACCTATTTGTCTGGTCTGGTTTATCAATAGATTTTCGAGATAAATCTGGATGGACAGCTCTTCACTGGGCAGCTTATTATGGGAGGTATAGTATTATTTGTCAAACTGATGGAATAAGTGGTTAAGCCTTTCAGTTTCATTCGATTCCACTCTTACTGATCGAGGACCTTTTAATTGGAGAGTCTCCATCATGCAAATAAATATTGGTTATAAATCATTGATTATTCGGGGCTTTGCATCAAATTCTTATGGGTATCAAATGCCTAGGACAAATACTCCCACACGGGGGTTCTTGATGCCCAAAACAATGATTGTTTTGCTTTTGTATTTTTGCTCTACTGGAAATGGGAATGCTCGAGGGTCATCAAAGGGTTGTGTTATTATTATATATTTATACATTATTAGTATGATTTAATTTTTTGATATAATTTTATCTCTATCAAAAGTTTTTAATCTACGTATTGACACACCACTCAGTAATTCAAAATTCTGAGCTATGTAATTCAACATTGTCGTGCATATGATCATTTTTCTCTTCAATCATCATCTATCTTAATCATAGTTATTTTACAATACCTTGAACCAAGCTGAGAGGTTGGCCTGCTGTGTTGGCAATTTCTAGTGTTAATTAGTTTTAGAGTTTCCCTGTACTGGTAAGCATTTATCACCTATTTGACCACAGAATTTCTTTATTTAGGGAGAAAATGGTAGCTGTTCTTTTATCAGTGGGGGCTAAGCCAAACTTGGTCACTGATCCCACATCGAAAAACCCTGGGGGTTGCACCGCTGCAGATCTTGCATCTATGAATGGTTATGATGGCTTAGCTGCTTATCTTTCAGAGAAGGCTTTGATATCACATTTTAACGAGATGAGCTTGGCCGGAAATGTTAGTGGTTCGTTGGAAATTAGTACAACAACCGATACAATTAATCCTGATAGCATCAGTGAGGAGCAGATGTATATAAAAGATACATTAGCAGCTTACCGAACAGCAGCTGATGCGGCAGCACGCATACAAGCTGCATTCCGTGAGCATTCTTTAAAGCTAAGGACTAGAGCAGTTGAATTCTCTACCCCTGAAGATGAAGCACGTGGTATTATTGCAGCCATGAAAATCCAACATGCCTACCGCAACTTTGAGACACGAAAAAGGATGGCAGCTGCTGCTCGTATTCAGTACAGATTTCGCACGTGGAAGATCCGCAAAGAGTTCCTACATATGCGTCGTCAAGCTATTAGGATTCAAGTAAGTCTTTACCCTTAATTCTTGGCATTACTTTCAATTTATTTGAGAACTGATTATGAGCCATTCAGGGGAAAGAGACAGGCCTAAGCCATCTTCAAGGCTTGAAAAATCTCCTATTTATACTGGTATCTTTTCACAAATAAGTCCAACTAAACCATGAACTATATAATAGACAAGATCGGGTAAACTAATCTTTTATACTTGGATGAGATCCAAATAGAGTTATTTGTAGTATCTTTTTATATTACTTATTAATGTAACTGGGGAGATTAAGTACTTGTTGGATTCAAACCGTTCGACTCTCTCTTGTTTGATTTGGCTTAAAGGAACCACAATTTTAAAAGAAAATGTTGAAGAGCCTATATGTATGTTTTATTTATTTTGTTCATTGTACAAAATAGAGCTCCTTACTAAAAAATTTTATAGTTATTTTCTCTCCCCCCTTTAATTCTCTTTTTTAGAACAAGATACGAGAATTTTCCTTGATGAATGAAAATAAACAAAGAGTTTTAAAGATACAAACTCCAAGATAGGAGTGAAAAAAGAGAAACCAAAGTAACCAAAGGAGATAACAATTAAGAAGAACATAAAAAGGCATTCTAGGAATCATAAATTAGGCCAGCTGAGTAGTTCTTCAAAGCCGGTGAAATTGAACACCGAAGAGAGACTTTGAACTTAGCAAGTCGAAGCTTTCCACCCCATCCTTGCTTTTGCTTTGAAAAAAGTCTTTGATTTCTTTTAAACCATAGTTTTGACATAGTTGCTTTGACCGCATTAACTCAAATCATGTGGGCTTTCAAGGATAAATGAGGCCCGATAAGTAACTGCACAATATTATCTTTGAAATCTTCTGAAAAAAACCCAACGAGCATTAAAATGAGAGAAGCTTCCACCAACAATTGAGAGCATAGGAGCAGTGAATCTCTTAATGCTAATTGTAGTGTTATTTTTGCAATTTTTGCCTAGAAGAGTGGGAGGGATACCTCATCTTTCTCACGGGGTTTGTTTTTACATTTTTACTTTGTATCAATTCATGATTTTACACTTTTACTTCATCTTTCGCACCCCTGATGGTTCTAATTTCATGTATCTTTGATCGTACAAAAACTTTGATGGAGCTGAAGTCCAATATAAGAAAATAAGCATCATCATCCAACTGAACTTTTAGTTTGTCTACATTAACTGGAGTGAAATTTCATACAATTATTGTGAAGTGATCTTGTTGTGGTTATCATCGTTCAGTATGGTTTATTTTTACCTTTATATTGAAGTGATCTTCAAGTTTCATGTAATTATTATGAAATAACATGCGTGCTAGAAGTGTTCTGTAAAAAAACAGTCGATGACTTCCTATTTGTTTCTTTCTTCCTAGGCTGCATTTAGAGGCTTCCAAGTGCGGAGGCAGTATTGCAAGATTGTTTGGTCAGTAGGAGTACTCGAGAAAGCTATACTGCGCTGGCGTCTTAAGAGAAAAGGTTTTCGTGGGCTTCAGGTTGCACCCACTGAAGTGGCAGAACAGCAGGAAAGTGACGCAGTAGAGAACTTCTACCATGTTAGTCAAAAACAAGCAGAAGAGCGAGTTGAGAGAGCTGTTGTGCGGGTTCAGGCCTTGTTTCGATCGAAGAAAGCACAAGAAGAGTATCGTAGGATGAAGTTAACCTACGATGAAGCAGCGGTGAGTTAAAAGGCTTCCCATTAAAGTTCCCTGTGCAAGTTCAAGTATTTTAAATTTTTGATTGTGTGATATTTTTGGCTTATTGCAGCTGGAATATGAAGTACTTACACATCCTGATACGAGAGCATAAGTTTGTGAAGATTCGTATGATTGTGGTAGTTATTCTAAGAATGGTTAAAGATACGAGTTTCCTTAGCTCAGGCCAACATGAAGAGGCCGATACCGATACTCGACTCGAGTTCTGGAGATTGGCTCTACTGAGGCAATGAGTTTAGAGAGTAATGAACTTTCTGGGTTGGGGTAAGAATTAATGCCCCTTTGTGTCAAACTCAAAGCAAATGCTTTTCTTGTAGCCTGTAAATGCTGTAAGTATATGAATAGGTCAGTTTGTTTTGTAATACTCATTCACCATTCTGAACTGTTTCAAAGAATCTGGTGGACGTTCTACTGTCCACAAAATTAGTAGAAATTAGAATATGAAATTTTCATGTTTTAAAGGATCTTATTATTTCTCAGTAGTTTGGCATTGAAAAAACATAAACAATATTATATTCATAATCTATTGAAAATTCTGATTAAAACCAGCAGTTTACGTCCGAAGATTCATATCTTTCGGTATAATTAGATTCAAACTTTAATTTAATTCTATAGAAGTCGTTGATCTACGAACTTTATTGAGAGTTTAATGCAACAATAATGTCACTAAACAAGGAAAAACCCAATAATCAGAGAAAATCATGACAACAAAACCTAGTTCCAATAGAACAAATATTGAGCTGCCAAACTTGTAAACAATTTTCTTCCAAAATTAATCTCTGTCTGGCAAAGGTGATAACCTACATGGAATGATGGATGCTAATTGCCCAATGTTGGCACCTACTTGATATATTGGGAGAGCCATTTGAACCCATCCCCATAACCCATCTTCCGGACGATGCTACACATAAAAACCTCGAGCGGTCGAACGTTTGTCAATGTAAGAGTGACCTTTCCCTTGCCAGTTGTGAAATTGGTCAAACCCAGGTGATATCTTAGCTCATCTTCTGAAGCTGCATAAGGGATGTCGATCTTGTTTCCAAGCACAAGGAATGGAACATCAGCCAGCGCTTCGTCTGAAAGGAGGGCGTCGAGCTCCTTCTTTGATTCGACGAACCTCTCTTTATCATAGGCATCAACCAGGTAAACTACTGCATCCACCTATTCCGTGGAATGTGTCAATAGGCATGAGATGTTAGCAAAGAGGGAATTCAGAAGCCATAAACTACCACAAACTCGGGATTATGAATGTTATTCAAGTTCCAATAGTTACAACAGAATAATATAAGAATCAAATTAGCATATGGAAGATCATGATCTTGGAGAACATCAGATGTCGAAATGACCACAGGTTCTCATCACACCAGGGACACATCTGAAATCCAAATTTACTTTAAACAATCGAAGGATTTGATGGATCAAAATGTACATCGCGGTGATAGCACCCATAAGAATGGAAACAAGTACACAAATAGCAACTTTTTTTCTTCCTCGTCTACCTTTAACTGTTTCAATAAAAATAATGTCTCGGGAGCCTTACCCGATCACAATGCATAAATATTAACACCAAGCGCTGTTACAGAAAACCATTTGGCAATGCTTTTATTCCATGAAAGCTATAGAGTGGAATGGAAATTAGGTAGGTTCAATCCTACAAAAGCCAGTTAGGTGTTATTATTTTGGATTAGGGTCCTAGACGGATCCCTTTTAGTGGGTTTGTTTTTTGTATGCCCTTGTATATTCTTTCATGTTTCTCAATGAAAACTCGTTTCTTATCAAAAAATAAGAAAAAGAAAAAAAATCAGCATCCCATATCAACTTTAATGGTGAGTATCCCGAAAGTTCATTTGATGGGAGAAGGACACTTAATAGATTTAGGAAATGGTATGCATCTGCAACTTTGGTTTTTCTTTCTTAATCAGATGGGTTGACAACGTGGGAATTGTTGAAACACAAAAACAGAAACTTCCATAGTATCTATCAGCTTCTATCTTCATATTGTTTCAGGTTGTAAGAGCTTTTACATCAAGATTCAGAAAATGAAAGGAAGTTCCTTATTCAAAAAGTTTGGGCTTAAAAAGTCAACTACTGCTGAAGGAGACTGAAAGGAGACAATGAGTATGGACCATAGAACCAACCAAGAAACCAACTTCTAAATCCTATAATGAAGAACAACAAAGGCATCTGGTGGGGATTGAAAAGAAGAACACTCCAACAACCATCAAATCGATGATACAGCCCCTTCGAATCAATAAACAATATCTATATCATAGGTCCAATCAATTACCAAATTAGAACGGCAGTTTAACAACAATAATGGAAAAGAACAAACTGTCGACAATTTTAAAACAAAGAAAACCATCAAGGCGATTCATGGACACCGAAACTGTTACAAACAAATCTCGGACAAAATGCAATCAGAAATTGGCCAAAAAATGCATAAAAGATCACCTTGGCATAATAATCTTTCCAGACTCTGCGAGCAATCTGGTGGCCTCCTAGATCAAAAGCCTTGAATTTGATTTTCCCAATACTCAACTCCTCTGAGGTCGGGTGTTGAGTCGGCTGGTGCTGCACTAGTCTCTGCGCAGCTCAAAATTTCCGTAAGAAATCCAAAAATCAAACAGTACGATTGAATTACAGAGTAGATAAAGAAATCAAACCAACCTCGTCCTTCAACATGTGAAGGAGAGTGGTCTTCCCCGCATTATCGAGGCCAAGGAAAAGAATCTTGGCCTCTTTTTGCCACAGGCCGAGCGACGCTAGGACGCCGTAGAACCAGTCGACGAGAAACATAGTCGCCGATAGCTAATCAATGAGAAAGTAGACGGAAAAATCACCGGAGAATCCTTAGCTTCAGAGAGTTTGGAATGAAGAGGAATGGAGATTGAAAGGGAAAATATGGAGATCTGAATGCGTCATTTGACAAAATGGATAAAGAAATAAAAAGGATTTGGCGTTACAACTGTGTGCACTTATGAGACCTCTTGCTTCCAGGTTTCGCCCATAGCCCTTTTTTTCGTTTAATTTATTTTTTTTTTCTATAAAGCACAATCAGATTTGGGAAATAGTTTCTCTTTCTGTCCATTTTTAATTATATTCTTACAAGTTACAAGTCAGACAAAGTTCAAAGTAATTTTACTCGTTAAAGAGGTAATTTATTGATGTATAATTTATATTTATTACTATTACTATTTTAGCTTTTTTTCCTAAATAAACTATGGATTCAAAGATCTAATTTTTGGTCGAAAATACGGGTGAGAATGAGGATTTAAGTCGAAATCATAGTTGTAATGCTGAAGGCCCACGTAAATTCTTTAAGAGGTCATTCAATCGCTCCAAGTCTAGCATGCTTTAACTTTGAAGTTGTTATGATTAGGTACTGAAAAGAAATGTGAAGCTTGTTGCTATACAAGCTATAGGCGGTAGCTATCTTTTTTTTTTTTTTTAACATTTTCTTAATCATGTTTACATATTCCTAGGTTTCCTCTCGTTCATTCATATCCGAATATGGTATCGGTTCATTGATATACCTCTCATCACTATTTGGATGTCACAATAATACCTTGTTTATTTGGGTAGTTGAGTTTTTGAGTAAGATTTAAAAAGATAATAAATTGTAGAGTTGCATAACTTATGAATTGGCATATTGATTTCTAAAATTTTAAATTACTCTCGAAAAAAATTAACTTTATCGAAATATTTTTAATTTTAAAGTTTGTGGAACAAAAGTACAAAACCGATATTATATATTAGTTTGAAAATTAAAAATGAAAAATAAAATCGATTATATACTATGGTCAAATAGGTAACGGATGAGTTACTCGTCCAAAGTGACCAAGCCCAATAAAATCAAGGTGGGTCCAAACTTAAATTGTTCTTAAACCTAAATTGTAAATTATGAACTTTAAAATTTGAAAGCCTAATTCAATTTTAAAAAATTAAATACCTTAAATTGTTCAAAGGGAAAAAACTTAACCTAAATTGAAATTTTGAAATCAAGTTGCCATAACAAATGAGAATATGGGTAGTTCTTAATTAGGATTTTTAAATAAATAGATAAGAAAATAATCAACTGAGTATAAATTGTTCTACCAAAAAAAAAAAACCGCATCTAAATTGAAAATCGGAAATCAAATTCTGATTAAGGCAAAACAAATATAAAAATAATTAAAATAATGGAAGAATTTGATTTATTAAAAAAAATGGAGAGAAACAGCTTACCAGTGAGAATATGGGCCCTTTCTTTTGCCAAAAAAAAAGATGGGCCCTTTGCAAAAAAAAAAGTGTGAGAATATGGGCCCAAACCCTAGCCCAATGTCAGCTGCATCGACTAAAATAAGATGACTCTAGCTTTTCCTTCCTTCGAAGAAAAAAAAGAAGAGAGAAGGAAACCCTAGCTTTTGCATCCTCTCAGTCTCAACAAAGGTTTGCTGAAATTCTCACTCTTTTTCTCTCTGAAAATCTTCGTTTATCTTCATTCATCGAAAATCAGCACCTAGTTTTCTAATTTCTCTTTTTTTTCCTATTGTTTTTGTTGGTGTTCTGTGGTACAGAGATGGCCAAGTCGAAGAATCACACAGCGCACAATCAGTCCCGCAAAGCCCATAGAAACGGCATCAAGAAACCAAGGAAGCATCGCCACACTTCCACTAAAGGGGTATGGAATCCATGGATAGCATCACTTCTGTTCTTGTTAAATCGATTATCTTTTCTTATCTTTTTATAGAATGCGTCTGCAGAATAGTTTTAACTCTTTATCTCGTCGATCTGCGTGTAGATGGATCCCAAGTTTCTTAGGAACCAGAGGTACGCGAAGAAACACAACAACAAGAGTGCTGAAACTGCTTCGGAAGAATGAAGTTGAAACTTTAGGGTTTCTATGATATAAGTTTGCTTCTACTGAACCTTTTGTTTTCTGATTTTTCTTTTGTTTTTCTTTCAGTAGTCTTTTAATTTTGACTTTGTTGTAGCGAATTCCATTTCAATGTGGAAGTCGTTCCTTCCGAGGCCTGGTTACGACCATTCACTTCCTGTTTTGGATTTTTAAGTTCTTAACTATTGGTTTCATCTTCATACTTAATCATTTGTGCCATTCTCTTTCTTCGCATCAGTATAAGCGTTATCTTCCATCTGGCTTTAATGGTTTCTATTGCCAAATGTTGTCAATCTGACTTCTAGATTTGGGTTATATTTGTTTGGTATTGAAATATAGGCAATGTAAATTTAAATTTTAATAAGTCATTCTTCTACATATTAAAATCAAACTTTACGAATTTAGACTTTCAAAATCTGTAACATTTTAGATTTATTAAGAACTGCGAGCAGGAAGGCCATATGAACTGTTTTTGAGGTATTCTCTGAGCGATGTTTGGGTGGAACCTCCCAAATTTTGGAAATCTGAGATTTATATGGCGAAAAAGTATAGATGAGGGATTGAGTTTAAAAATATGAGCTAAACAATCCAATGTAATGGTTGGTTTATTATGAATTTAGTAATTATAAAGGAAAATAAATCATGACTTTGTAGGGTTTGTGCAATTTAAATGTCATGTCAATGGCATTGGCATTGGTGGTTGCCTCGGTCCCTAAGAAGACGGATAATATTTTTAACTATGTATTCATTAGACTCAACCACTTTGAAGTGGGATCGAACTTTCCATCTCAAGAAGAAGGTAATGGGGTAATGATTGCCTTTTAAACATCCGTAGGTAACAGAAACAAATATTTCCAATAATAAAGAGAACTCATGGATAGTTGTAGAGTCAACAATTATCTAATGTTGTAGAGTCAACAACTATCTCGTGAGATTAGTCAAGGCGTGCGTAAGTTGGTTCGAGCAAATCTTCTATTTGTCAATACGACAAATGTTGACCGACTTCCACACCCAGAATTTGGGGAAAAAACGTAAATGAGTAAAAACAAGTCTCATCATTTACCATTACAACTATTTTCAACAAAAAAAAAAAAAAGTTACCATTACAACTTATATTGCTTCATATGATTAAATTACTCGTTAAAAATCACAGGCAAAAATAGCATCTAAACGAGGAAGCAATTGCAGGTTGATGTTCCATTTGCGAGACATGGATTAATCAATAAAATAAGAATGACAAAGATACTAAAATATTTTGGACCAAACCAACCGCACGACATCTGCTAACTCTCTCAAGACTTGGTTGTTTCTTCCAGCATTATGATGACCCTGCTGATCTCGCTGTCTAGAAATCGTGTTGTTTCTCAAAACTCCCTAACAAAAGTAAAATTCTTCAAAAAGAAGGCTTTGAGCGTTCGAGAAGCTTACACTGCAATCGGTTCACTTACTGCACTGGGAGCATGAGCTTCAACCTGTTGATGAAAGGCATTTTTGTTTCAACGCATTTTGATGGTGAAGTATGAAATGAAGTCTGAATATCTCATTCCATGAAAGGGACTAGAAGAAATGAACAAAACTAACGTGTTCTTGTAAAGAGTTGGGTTTCAATTGACACATTTGATATAGTAAGGGAACTCACTGGAAAATCTTAAACTGACCTTAGCTGACTTAAATAGTTCATCAAGCACCTCAGATAGTGTTGGATGTGCATGAACTGCTAATTTAATATCCTGCACCAATACATAGAGAGTAAAAAATGACACAGGATTCGAGAAAATTAAGAATCTCAAATTTTTATAGTTCATAGGCTGTCGCTTTATGGGGCCAAGTAGTCAGTCTATATTGGTTTCCACTGTGAAAACTTACCTGAATGCGTGTTCCTAGTGCTATTGCATTTGATGCTTCGTGGATAAGGTCTGCGGCGTGTAATCCAAAAATATGAACTCCGAGTATCTCTCCATTATCGGGTCTATATATTAGCTGGATGAGGTGAAAACAATGGAATTATAACTAACTGAAAGCCATAAATATACATACCACTGGAGTACGGTGAATAATTTTTATTAAACCAAAGGTGTGAAAAGAGGTTGCAGAAGTATAACCTTGGCGAGACCCTCTCCTTCATTTTCTGCAAGGGCCTTTGTGTTTGCCTTAAAACTTGTCTTGGCAACGCTTACTTCAAATCCCTCCTCCTTGCCTTTCTCCCTTGCTTGAGGCTGCAATATTTATGCATTTTGTTGATTTTTAGATCTTGAAACTTTGAAGTAATAGCGATCAAATAGGGGAAAAGGCTTGATGAGGTGAAACAAATGCAAGAACATTGTTGAACTAATGATATTAACAAGCATATATAATGTTTCATTATCAATTAATAATGCAGATGAACACAAAAGTTTACCATGATGTTTTTTTTGTTTACCTCAGTAAGTCCAACCATACTAATTTCGGGATGAGTGAAACAAGCTGCAGGGACGCTTAAATGATTGAGCACGTGATCCCTTCCGGTAACTTGTTCAACCACTATTGAAAGGTTCGTGCAAAATAGTTAATTGTTTAGTTGGAGTTTATGGCACGTATAGTAATTGATTGGCAACTACTTACCCAAAATGCCTTGTGCACTGGCTGCATGAGCAAGCATCATCTTCCCATTCGCATCACCAATGCAGTATACATGAGGAACCTAGCATGAAAAAAATCCATGCTAACTATGATTATGTCGGTAAAAATAAAGGTTAGTCAAAAGAAATTCAAACATACCAGTTTTCCATTTGCATCTATCACTCTCATGCGCTCATCAACAGGAACAAAACCACGTTGTGTGACCACATTGATCTACAAATAAATTAAAACATATCAAAATTGTCTATTATATCAGTGAACAGCTAGAGATAGACTAAATAAAATTAGTACTTGAGGAGACGTACATTTTCCAATCCAAGACCGTTAGTGAATGGGGCCCTTCCAGTTGCAATCAGTGCTGCGTCTACCTGTTACAAAATGGAAAAAAAATGTAATGTTCATTATTTCAATATAGTATCAGCATACCAGTGCATTTAAGTCAGATAACTACATTTATTGCAATGCAGATGGATTTGAAGAGAATTGAAGAAAGTCTTTCCCATTTGAGTTTAATCAGAGTAAAGAGAAACTCCAGGAGAAAGTACATTGGTACCGATTTCCAGTAAAGACAGTTACCTCTAAACTATCTTTAGGTTCCTTAGTTTTTGCATCTATAAGCTCTATAGTCACTGGTTTCCCATCCTTTGCTGGAGTAATCTTTATAAGAACACCAAAGAAAACACAAACCGATTTCAAAAAAATGCAGAAAAGGGGGAAAAATCTTAGATGCTGAAGTAGAAACTATGCATAACCTTAGATGCAAATACTCCAGTATGGTAATCAATTTTCCGTGGATTTATTAGAACCCTCTGGGCCAACTTTCCAATCTCAGGATCAAATCCAGGCATAAGCTGATCAAGCGCTTCAATAAAGGTAACCTGCAAAGAATAACATTATGATGAACAATGTAGTCCAAGATACATTAAGGACTACTTATTCCCTTTTAAAATGAAGTGAAGAATTCTAATGAATTGTAATGGATTGAAAGGCTACTCCCTGAACCAGTCTTTATAATCCTATATGTCCTATTTTGTTTGACATCCAAAAGATCCCCTTCGCCATGCCCTGGGCTTTGTTAGAGCGCCTTTTTACAGAAAGCTTATTTCTTTCTCCTCGAGCTTCATTTTTCCCACAAGGGTTGGGTAAAGATGCATGTCGCAATTTAATTCAATATTGTTTCGTCCAAACTCATGATTACTATAAGCCGGAAAAAAAAACAGTCCTATTAGAATAGCTAATCTGAAATTTTAAAACATAGTCGTGATTCTTTTACTCCTATTATCAAACCTGAAATAGGATTAATTTCCTTCTGGTATATTTAAGCAATGTCCTGAAACTATTAAATTTCAGACAATTTATGTTCTTAATTGTTTAGATCCAAGAACTCAACTGACACATCATCCACAGTGCAATACAAGAATTGAAATACAGTAACAAATATTCTACCAAAAAGTTATAGTGACATGTTAAGAAGAACTCCAAGCAATGCTTTAAAGTAACCAAGCAACAAATATAAACAAGTTGAAATGATGGACAACAGTATGGGAATTGGGTCAATTAGTACGTGTAGAGAGGAAGACCAACCTCACTTCCTAGGGCAGTGTATACATCGCTGAACTCAAGACCAATATAGCCACTCCCAACAATAGCGATCCACTCAGGAACAAATTCCAGTTTTAGTGCATGGTCACTGGTAATAACAGTCTTCCCTGTATAAACCACAATTAAGGATTAGAATTCCTACAAGCAAATGTATCCAAAGAAATGACTCTCCAGTAAAATAATATAAGTTTGTGAACCGCTGTAATGATATAGTATATAAAATGTGTGTAACTTGCAAGTACAACTATCCACTTCACTCATTAGAAGAAAGTTGTCTACATCCCCACGCTTCTGTTGCAGAGGAATTATGTTCAAGGAGTAAGAAGTTCTAACATCTCAAATTCCATGATAATACGGTCAACAATCAGCATGAATGTCCTAGCCAAACATATCTAATTCTTGCCTCTTGGAGCATAGTCATAAAGTGTTCAAATTCATACAATTAGTTAAAGTCAACAATCCAAGTTTTTTTTTTTAAATATTCGTGAGTGTCCGGACCAGCTTGCACGTGATCTAAGTAAGTGGCCACCATAGTTTGAACTCATTCCTCCAAAGTCCTTTACTATTTACATTGGTCTTTATTGACCATTAACTCAACCCAGGATGGTTAATCCAAGTTCTAAAAATGCAAACCTGATGTAGTTTATGCCACAAAATGGGGTGCCTAACCCCATAAAATGCTTCAAAAAGCTATTGGAAAATTATCTTCTTTACAAAAGAAATAAATAAGTTTATTCCACTGTCTCATCTCGTTTAACCAAACTTTAACACAGAATTACCCAAAATCAATACTGCAGACTGTAGTTTCAGTTCCAAATTATTAATTTTTATGTATAACTGAGAGTCAAAGCTTTGCTTCCCTATACTCAGAGGCATCTGCGCCTGCCCCAAAGTCCAGACCCTATTAATTATAACTTTTTCATAAAAAGATCTAGCATTTTGCTATAGTTTCATATTCTCAAGGGTAGGACTTTGTTTTCATGGACATTTATGTTTTACATCCCATGATGCAATGAAATTAACAGTTACCTCCTCCATGGACGAGTAAAACAATTGAATTGGAAGGTACCAACTTTTAGTTACATGTGCATGAACTAGTGACCAAAAGAGTCCAAAAATGTATTTGTTTTCATAGATGTGTTTAGGTTTTACATCTGATGATGATACGAATTAACATTTACCACCTTCATAAATAAGGTCAAAGAATTTTTAATAGAAATTTCCAACCTCATCAGGCGTAACTTTAAATAGTGACATGATAATAAACTAATGTCTGAAAAGTCAAGAACAAACAACTTCATTCACATACACGTCGATGGCATGGCTTTGCACCCCAAAATTTCATTAACTCTAACAATTGATAAGCTTCAAAATAGTTAATATAAACGTGAAAAGGAGAACCAGGAGAATTAATGTTTACCATCAACTTCAATGCCCTTTGGAACAAAAGGGACAGAACCGGTAGCAATGATTATATCTTTTGCAGTTACTATCTTGTCAGAAGAACCAATCTGAACCTTTTGAGGGCCCTAGAAGAATTCAACAAATGACATGAGAGGTACTGGTGGAATGGACAATTATGGAAAAAACAAAATCACTTGCCAGATTATACGAGGGAATTAGTAAGAAGTTTTAACCTTGATGGCTAAAATTCTCATGAAGTTATATTCAAAGTTCAGGATAACAAATTTCAAGGAATGGGTCAAGTGGTCAAGACTCGAGAACTAAAGATTTTTATATCAAGATTTTACAACTTGACCAGTGATGTACCAGTGATGTGAGAAACAACGGCTACTATCGATTCATTTAAAACAGCCAAATAAATTAATTTTCTTTTCATGAAGGCGCAAGCGAAACTTACCAAAATTGTACCAACACCAGTCAATATATCAACTCCAAGGGCTTTCATTGAGTTGGTCAAATTAGTACGAATTTTTGAAGCAAGATTATTAGCATGATCAGCCACTCCTTGTCTGTCATATCCAGCAGCCGAGACCTACAAATAAGTTAAAATAAAGAACAAAAAGAAGTAAGACGATAAATAGTAGTTGTTAATAACTCCAATCAAATTAACTGTAATCGAGTACAAAAACACTGTTGGTAAGGATAGAAGACACATTTGTGAACAGGTACACATGAAAAACACCGATACGTTAAGACTAATATATGTACGACTACTAAGTTCAAGCTCTCTGATTTCCTAAAGTCAATACCTGCAAACCCAAAGCCTTCAAGTGATGTTCATTCTGAAGTTCACGCATCCTACCACTTACAGCTAGAAGAGCTTTAGAAGGAACACATCCTCTGTTTACACATGTTCCACCCACCACATCTCCCTCTACAATGGCAGTTTTAAGACCCTGCAAGAACAACAACATTCTAGAGAATTATATCCATGTCATATCATCTCCTGATCAGTAATATGTACGATAATCACTAGTCCCGGTCATTCGCTGTAAGAAAATATGAGATAACTGGACAAGCTGGATTAAAGTTATGCGTCACGTATGCTGCCAGAAGATTTAAATTTTTGGCAAAAGTCGTTTACCGTATTGCCATTCAACAGTGACAATTACGATATTGAAGCGACGAAAACTGCAGTAACTTCCATAAAAGGTATGAGCAGACATAATTTGAGTTGGCAACTGAAAACGGAGCTAAGCTACATTTGGAAACCTTTCTTGGACAGACGAGCGGGGCCATAAACGTACTAGAATAAAACCGCTGTGAGTTAAAGTAGTAACACACAACACGCACAATAATCGCTACGACAAAACTCGAATTCGGAACAATTCCTTGCGAAATCAAATAACGACCGAGCAGTTGAAGCTTGTCTTTTACCTTCTCTACAGCATGAAGAGCCGCTCCATGGCCACCGACGCCAGCTCCGATAATGAGCAAATCGTAGTCGAATTTGGAGGGACTTCCATTGCCGGAGAGAGCAGCAGAGACGACGTTCCTCCTGGAGCGGGAGCTGGTGGAGAGGTGGAGAGTATGGGAATCGGAGCGTTTGAGCGATGAAAATCCCAAGGCCTCGCGTCTTAGGCCGCAGAAACGGAGATTGAAATGGGGGGATTCAATGGCGGATGTTGATTTGGGAGGGGCGAGGGAGGATGCGGGGGAGGAGATGGAGAGAGAGATTGAGGAATGCATTTTGCGATAATGGTGGAAGAATTGAAGGTTGGTGAGTGAGGGCGAGGCGAGAGTGTGAGAGATCTGATGAACCGAGGGAAGTAAATTGATTTGGCGCCTCGAAGAGTCCGTTAAGAGCGGGCGGATATAACGAAGTGCGGCGGATACTGATAGAGATGAGCCACCCACCTATATGTCTTTCTTTTACTTACTAAGCGCTAATGCCCCTTTTTTCTTTTCCTTTTTTAATGCTACGAGTCAATTTTTTTTTTTTTAATGCTTATTTGGGGTATGAGATTGAGCCAATTACGATCGAGCTATACTCGTATTTGAGTCAATACTATTTTTTTAGTTACACTTTTGGTCGAAATATGTATTTTAACTAATTAAGCTATACTCATGTTGGTTTTAAAAATCAATAATATAGTTCGTATAAATTTTATACTTTGATATGATATGTTTCAAAATAACATTTTTTTTTGTTTAAAATACTTCAAGCATAGTATACTAACTTTAGTTAAATCAGTTTGGGGTCGAAAATATAAATGTGTGATTGTAATAATCGTTCACATAGTTAATTTTCTTTTGTGGGCCGTGATTTTTTATCCGATTTATTATTTTGCTTTTCCCATCAATTTGTCTGTGGCATGTTTGCCATTGTTTTATTTAGTTTACATATTATATTGTAATCGTCGTAAATATTTAAGTATATATATTAGTATTTTGAGTTCGTGAAAATAAGAATTCGTAGACTAAACAATCACAAATTAGATGGTCTATTTTGTCTCGAGTAATTATACACTGTAGCTACACGTGTTAGTTGACAACTCAAAATTATCAAAATTAACTCATCTTCATTTGAATATAACTTTTTAAAAAATGGTTTAGTTCCATCTCGAACAATTAGAGATTTTAGTTGTCCCAAAACAATAGTTTATTCATCCACGTGGTCACTTATATCAATATTTGTTACAATTGTCTTGTTTGTTATTTTGACACTTTGAGGTCGTATTTCTAACTTTGTTTGGAGACTTAATTTAAACCTTGTAATTCATGTATACTGGTTGCGAGAGTGATATAAAACAACAAAATATAAACTACAACGTAGATCCAAAATATACGTGATTGAGATACTCATCTACCATGTTATGATTTTGTTTTCATTTTCACGTAGACTACTAATGAAAAAAAGTTTTTATATATACACATTGAAAGCACGTGAATTGATAAATTGAGAGATGGGATCGAAATAAACTATTGAATAATATTTTATATAATTTAGTATTTAGCTTCGAACAAATATCCATTAAACACACGTATACACATAATCTAAATTTATCAACTTTTTTTGTTTTTTAAAGTTCAGATGAGTGAAACGAGTGTTGGTATTAGATAAACCAGTTGATGCATCAAATTGACAATCAACCTTTGATCTTAATGTAGTTGATATAGAGGATAGACGTCATATGTGCTTTGCATTTTACAGTACATTGCAATATATATTATATATATTTATTTTTATTTGACATGTTTAGGTCCCCCAACCAAATGAAGACTTAAACATTCAATTTAATTAATAAATACATAACTAACATTACAAGTTGATATTTATTATTTAAATAAATGCGATTCTCTTACATAAAAAAACAAAAATTATTTAGTCGATACAAAAATATAAGTTTAACTGAAATTGTTAAAGTTTCGTGGAGTTCATATTCACATCAAAAGAGGATTAGTAGTGACTATTGCATAAGGTACTTATTTGTTAGTCTTCACCCAACATGTCGATTAGATAATAGATAGGTTGACGAGCCTCTAGAACAAAGAGGCAGACAACAAAGTCAAACCCTACTTATGGTTGATAGATATTAGATGTCAATATATGAATTAAATTTACCAAACTCATCAACTTAAGTTGTTGGGTTGAGTAATGATTTATTCATCCTTAATATAATATCATAGCAAAATTATCGTGCAATTACTTATTCTCCATTTAATTGCCTGTGATTGCGAATTTTTTTTTCTTGATCAATTTCATTTGTTAATCCTTGAGGAGACATAATAGGTGCAAATAGTTTACGTCCAAGCATCGACAACTCTAATAAATAGTTGTCGCTACGATTCGAAGGAGCCTTCAACACCTGTATCATTTCTCAAATCAACTACTCTAAACAACAAGCAGCATAAAACTATCAACTTTTACGAACTACAACACACTTGTTATCACTATCTTTGATCTTTGAGATCATTGTTGTACTCTTACTCAAGAAAAATAAAAAGGAAAAAATATATACGAAAAAGAAAAAGGAAAGTAATTGACCAACCCGATTGGTCAACAAAAGGCGCGTAAAATTGGCGTCGAGGGAAAAAAGAGCGCGTAAAAGTACGCGATCATAATTCGCGAAGTGGTCTGTTTGTTATTATATGAAAAATGAATGGCATAACTGAAAATTGAGGTTTCTATTTCCAATATTGGGGATAGATTTTTCTTTGTTTCTTCCAGCACGAGAAGTGGAAAGAAAGAATACACCGGGAGAGAAGCGAGTAGCAAAGAAAGAGGAAGAGAGGCGGAATATAGGCAATTGAAGCTCCCACTGCTACGTGTATGGCGTCTAGGGTTTCTGCTTTACACTCCCACTGAAATCTTTACCCCATATTTAGTTTCTGCTGCTCCCTGTTTCATCGTATTCGAAACCCTAATTCTTCATGCACCAATCTCCATTGCTGTTCACTCCACTTCAAGATTACCTTTGAAGTCGGGTCAATTTTGCCTCACTTTGCGATGGGCGCGCCAGATAGATCTCCGGCGACCTCCAATTCTATGCAGGTAAGCTCTTTATTAAATTGGGAAGCTCGCTACTTTGACACTGAATGCCAGTAGACGCCGACATCTAATTAGACTTGTAATTTCGTGGTTGAGGTTGGTCTCTGAATGTTGCTTTTCATTTATATAATTGATATTGCGTATCGTACAATTTTTCCTATAATTCGCGTCCTTTGAGAGTTTGTTTCAGTGCCAGCGTTGCTTATAAACGCCTGGACATTAATGGAAATTTAAATTGCTCTGCAACCCAGAATTTATTTCTTAAAGTGATATGAACCCAGAAGCAAATTGCTTTCTGATTACTTATTCATCCTGGACGACGATTGCATTATATTTGTATATAAGCTTTACTACTTGAAGCTGAACTGCCAAGATTTAAGTGTTTGCAGATGAGGATGTTGTGGCAATTGTATAGTTACTGAGAAACATTGGAGGGCAGTCATAATTTTCTTTAAACGAATATTTTATTACTTTTTAAGGTTTAGATCAGAAGATGGGTATTCTTAATATACTTGCATGAAGTAATGGTACATATTGACATCATTACAGTATCAAATACTCTTACCAACATTTACCACTTAGAGTTGCATTGAATGACAGAAATATAATAGTAATACTAGAACTATCATAAGAAAGACTCATAGTGCACAGTTCATGCTGATAATTCAGTTTTCTGAAATAACGGGTTGATTTGTGAATAAATTTACTGGTCAGTTCAGAGGTTCAAATCTTGTCATTTACAAATTCTGTCCAGAAAATAAACAGGTTACAAAGTTCACGATTCCACGTCCTATCAACAAGAATTCAGCTTTCTGAAACATTTAACATATTTTAGTAAACCAGCCCTGTGTATTTGAGGCATACTTGCATGACAATTGAATGCCATAGGTTTCCAGCCACTTGTTGTTCACCTCCTGCTGGCCAATAGTTTCTTGCAATAACTGCTTTGCTCATGTTTCCAGCGGTTCTGACTGCTGCATATTTTCAAATTGTCAATATAACTGTCTTGTCACACACTGAATGGGTTTACAACAATCTTGGAGAAGTTCAAAATCAATTCATTTTGTTTTATCAGTTTCTGTAATTTTGGAGTTTGCACTTGGTCCTTATTTTTTATATCTTCAAATTTCAGCGTGTCAAAGTATATCGTTTGAATGATGATGGAAAATGGGATGATCAAGGAACTGGGCATGTTACTGTCGACTATTTGGAGGTTTGTGACTGATAAGAATAAACTTTCTAGAAAGAGCAAAGAATAGAAAAGAGAGTTGTGCAATCTGTCGAAGATTAGCTAACATGATCTTCATTGTTATGAATGCAAATTTAATTCAATTCAGAGATCAGAGGAGTTGGGATTGTGTGTTTTTGATGAAGAGGACAACGAGACTCTACTTCTACATCGTATTAGTTCAGAAGACATTTACAAAAAGCAAGAAGGTCTGTTTTTTCTTTCTTGTAAACTTTAAGCAGTATCATCATCTTGAGTCTTCTTTGTAATATGTATCTGCACTATTTTAAGTTTCTGATTGGTTATGTAGGCTTACATTGACTTTGAAGTTCTAACAGAGTCAGTTATTTAAACATGCAGATACTATAATCTCTTGGAGAGATCCAGAATATTCTACGGAGTTAGCTCTTAGCTTTCAAGAGACAACTGGATGTTCGTACATATGGTAACAATTGATTATTTCCCCTTCATTATGTAACGTTATGTTCCTTGATAGACTACCTCAAAATCTTTTTATCTTATTTAGGGATCACATTTGCAATGCGCAAAGGAATCTCCATTTTAATTCTCTCAACAGTAAGTACCAAGTTATTTGAGTCCTTTTGCCATTGAACGTTTTTTATTTTGTTATTTGCATCACATTTATCATAATAGGAAACTAAATGTTATAGATTTACTGTTATATAGTGGAGGCTACATTTACTGGGATGATTTCTAGCTTATGACAAGGAAAGTTGCTTTGACTGTAGTACCTAGTAGGAGGATAAAAATAAGAAAGGACTATGTTGAGGTTGACATGCAAAAAACCACCAAACATTAAATTCTGTTATACTGGAAAGGGCGGTGGTTGTTCTTTCTTAATGAATCGTTTCTTATCCAGAAGAAAAAGGGTGGTAGTTTCAAGAGATTCAGAATGTGACGTATATCTTTGGCCTTTGTAGTTTGTTGAATAAAAGATTAAATTGTAGTTCACTGTTCAAATGAAAATTTTAATCTGTTCAATAGTTTATGGTTTGCTCTATCAGTGCTGCATAATTTATGACTAAGGATAGATGAATATTTTTTCTTGTTAACAAGACGAAAAGTTGAATAGTTCTCTCTTTCTATTGCCTCAAAACCAAATCTCTGATCTTTAATATAAAATTTGAGCAGATTCCTCATTATACACTGATTACAGAACTGTCTCGGGGGAATAAACTTTAGTATTTATTTATTTTTTGTCCTTGCCGGTATCTGTTTTATGTTAGTGCTGTGCAATTAGAAGAATAGCACGTGAATCTGTCAAAATCTTATGAAGTCAGCAGATGGTGTAACATTGTTGATTTGGTAAAGATTCGATGGTTGTAGATGCATGGGATGAAAATACAAGATCTTGGAGAATTACTGCGATAAGAAATCTTAGGGACGAAGGGATGGTGGAGTTTTGTGGTCTATTGGAAGTGTTAGATGGGATGACAATCTCAAGAAGGGAGGATAAGAGATGCTGGGAATTGGGAAATTCTGGAGTTTTTCAGTAAACTCACTGGTTAAAGAGCTTGTTCAGTTTTTTTCCTTCCTATACCTTTTGTGTTAGTTTTGTGGAAATCAAAGAGAAAGGTGAATATTTTTTCCTGGCTAGTCTTACTAGACCATTGATAGGGTTTAAAAAATTGTCCTAATTGGTCTTTGAATCTGAGCTGCTGTATTTTGTACCTTAAAGCTGGGGAGGACCTTCCTCACTTGTTCTTTCATTGTTCCTTCAGTAGGAAGTTATGGGAGGCTTTGTTTCAAGGCTTTGGATTTTTAAGTCGGTGTTGTGAGGTATTTGGACAGAAAGGAATCAGTGCATATTTGATGGAACACAAGATGTTTGGGCGGAAAACCAGTGCTTATTTGATGGAAGGCAATATTGTTTGGAGGAAAGATTTGAATTTGATCTTGTTAACTAAAAGTGGTTTCATGGTGTGCTATGCCCAAACAAAATTTCAATTATTATTCTTTTGTTATTAATTCTTGCTGGGAAGCTCTCTTTTAGTGTTGTGCTTCATTTTTGTTTGCCTCATGTCAGTATTTGAATGCTCCGGTTTGAGACATTTAGTTTCAGTCCTTAAAGGAGCAGCGTTGTAGCTTTTTGAATATCAATGAAAAGATGTGTTTCTTTGTTGGGAAATAGGAGATTAGAACATTTTATTTGTTTGTTGGAATTAGGTATTGTGGTTTATTTATGAATAAAAAATTGCATTTGTTTTTGCTGAATATTAGCTTTGGATAATTTTTTGTTTCCATTTCAATATGGCCAGACGATACGTTCCACAGCATGAACAGTGAGTTGAGGGAGTTGCCTGCAGTTGAGCTATCAACACTGCCACTATTACTTAAGGTTAGTATGAACATACTACAGAAGACAAGAAATAAACAGTTTTCCTAAAAAGCAATGAGCTAAACATATTTTCACTAAATCCTTTTCTAATAAAACAGGAAGCTGTTTGTAAACTATTTTCAAACATTTCTTAACGTTTAACTAGCAACTAATATGTGAACAAGTTTCCATAAAATTTTTTTCCCCTAGAAAGCGTAAAATAATTTTTAAGTTGGTTGTGAACAAGTTCCAATAGTGATGATTATTATTATTATTATTATTTTTTCTAGAAAGCATAAATCAATTTAAAAAATTGGCTCTCAAAGAATCCCCTTTCTTTTTCTCTCTCTCTCTTCCTGCCTCCAATCTTCAGATGAACTAACTCTAAGGAACTAAATGAGGAATTTGATATTCAAATTCAAATTATATAAAAGCTATATAAGAATAAGCTTAATCACATATTCAGGAGAATTCGAGACCCCTGGCCGCTTATCCAACTGAATCATATATTGAATTACATTCACTAATTTCCTGTAGTCCTGTCTCCCCATTTTTTATATTCCTCTTCCATATTCTTAACCAATCATAGGCTGCTTATTCATTGAATCATATTCCAGAATCCAGTTAGAGTCAACCAAACCTTATAATATTGGCCTATCTATTCCTCATATTGATTATTCCCTTTTCGCCTTGCATTGGTGAAATTAAATTGGAGACCTTGTCATTCTTTTTTTTTAATAATAAGGAACTAATTTTGTATGGGTATTTCATGTATACTCGTCTGCATTTAGTATCTGCCTCCATGTCTTGACATTTTAATGATTCTTAGATGGTGTCCATTTCTTTAAAGTATAAGGGATTGGAAGACAAATGTCCTCCCTCCCTGGTTTAATTGATCCTTTTGCTTATTTTAATGTGGACAGAGTTTCATATTTATTTGATGATACTTTTTGCTCAGATTGTGGTTGAAAGTGGCATTACAGATCAGATGCGATTGGTGGAACTCATAGTATCTAATGTAAGACTTGGACAACTTTGTGATTTTCATGTAAATTTGGATGCTCTTATGACTTCTGCATGAAATCTTGATCTTGGATGATCAAGACTAGAGTATTTTGACTGATGACAGTTTTGCACGATGCAGCAAGAATTTTTTAAGAAGCTGATGGACATATTTCATATCTGTGAAGACGTGGAAAATCTAGATGGTCTTCACATGATATTTAAAATAGTCAGAGGGATCAGTCAGTATTCTTTTCTGGTTCTATTTACTACTACCGACACCAATTGTTTTTGACAGTTGATATCCATTTTGTTAAATGCAGTTCTGCTGAATAGTCCACAGATATTTGAGAAAATTTTTGGCGATGAATTAATCATGGATATCATTGGTTCTCTAGAATGTAAGCTCTGTGGTTATTTTTTAAACTAATAATCACCTGTAACTTTTTCTTAATGTTTAGACTATAAATATGCCGTATCCTATGGTCTCTAGTGGATCTTTATCTTTATTGCTTTTGTGGTTGACTTGGTCCGATTTAAAACTTTTTGTGATCATGAACATTCATGGTCTAATTTGAAGGTTGTTTCTTTATTTAGCCTTCTTATTGTTGCTTGAGGCTTTTCTCCCCCTTCTGTACAAATTTTTTTCCTTTTTATTTAATGTCTCTGGTTTTGTTGACTGAAAATTGGCTTGGTATATACTTTATCTACTACTAATTGGTCTACCTACATGATATTGCTTTACCTATATGATAGTGGTTTTGGGGAGCAAAAAATACCCTCACTGATTTCATACCTCTATTTTTATGTGATTGCCAGACGATCCAGAGGTACCTTATGTCCAGCGTCATCGTAATTTTTTAAAAGAGCATGTCATTTTCAAAGAGGTAAGACTGCTACCTGGCTGTCCTCATTTAAGAGTGAGAGCTAAGGAAATCACACAAGGGGTTTCATTATGCAGTCTTTTGTGGAGGTTTTTACTTGTTGATTATATATGTATCCACTTCACTTTTGTAGGCCATACCCATCAGGGATACATTGGTCTTGTCGAAGATACACCAAACATACAGAATTGGCTATCTCAAGGTTTGGGTCCCTTACAGATGCAAATTTTCTATCTTTTGTGTTGAGCTCGTTGATCATTGTGCTACCTTGGATTGCGTTGCTAGGATGTTGTTTTGGCTAGAGTATTGGATGAGTCCACAATTGCAAATCTAAATTCCATTATCCACGGAAATAATGCGCTGGTAGGTTCTTGAAACCATGTGCTTATTTTTAAGCGTATGTTTTCACGCTCTAACATCAGGTTTCATTGTAGGTTATTTCTTTGTTGAAGGATGACAATACATTTATTCAGGAGTTGTTCGTTAGGCTGAAATTGCCAACAACCTCCGAAGAATCTAAGAAGAATTTGGTAATTTTGCTTAAAAGCATTATTTTTTCCCTCGTTGTACTGTGGCTACATGTAATTTCTTGTGCCGTAGTTCAACTATGACGTTCATCTTTAATGCTTTTGTTTTTCGTTTTCATATTCTCAATTTTGTGAGGAATACTTTGAGTCCGTTAGAAATGAACATCCAAAATTGAATTTGATTAATTCAACTTCTAAAAGTTTGGAACAATTAGAAAATTATCAGATAACTAATCATATTTGTGTTAGGTACATTTTTTGCACGAGTTTTGCAGTTTAAGTAAAAATTTGCAGATGGTTCAGCAACTACGGCTATTTAGGTACTTTCCATCTTTCTTTTTTCTTCTAGTGTAAATTGTTGTAGCTCGCGAGTTTGAAATTTTTGCTATTTTAGTTTAAGATGCTGAATACCAGTTTCTATTTTCTGAAGGCTTGTTGAGTTGTTTCAAATTGTTAACTTACAAATTCTGCAGGGATCTTATGAATGAGGGAATTTTTGATGTTATTGCTGATGTATTACAAAGTCAAGATAAAAAGTTTGTACTGACTGGGTAATGTCTATCTTCTGATTAAATTTTGGTATCGTTTGAGGCGTTTCCATAAAATAATTTTCTTAGAACTGTTTTATAAACCTATGTTTAAGAAGGAACTTTTACATTGTTCACTTATATGCACAATTCATTGCAAGTTCTTTTTGGTTCTTAAAAAAAGAATACTCGAAGGTTTTTATCTGGAAAAAATCGTTGATGTTTCTTCTGAAATTAAAAGAACTATTCCGATAACAACACGGCCAAAACATTTTTAAGAATTTCAAGCTGCATGTTTGTCTTCTATTTTATGATTCCTATTTCTTATTTACATTCTTTTTCTAGGCCATTTCAATAATGCATTATTTGGATGGGTGCAGGACAGACATCCTTATTCTTTTCTTGAACCAAGATCCTAATCTTCTACGTTCTTACGTTGTTAGGAAGGAAGGGATTCCACTCTTAGGACTATTGGTATGTGTTTTTAATCTAGTTTATCTGATTTGCCGTTCTTTTATTTTCTTTCTAATGGTAAACTGAACTTTCATTAAGAAAAATGAAAGAATAGAAGCAGGCATCAAAAAAAGAAAAACGAAAAAAAAAAAGAAAGAAAGAGAGCCCATAACAAAAGAACCACAAGCAAATAGCCCAACTTAATACTACAAGGAAAAAAAATTACAGGCAAGGCTCCTGTTTTTTCAAATTTTTTATTGTTGTGGCCGGGTATTTATTTACATGCTTATTTGGTTAGATCTTATCTTCATGTGATTGGCAATATTGGGGAAGGGGTGTTAATGAAATTGCGACCTAGTATGATCAATAACCACAAGCTGTGTCCGATATATAAATTATCAAGTCAGATGTGTTGTTGACATGTAGTAACCTTTTTGTAAGCTAAATCATTTACAGAAGGTTAAACTAGTGATACAGACAATTTACACCAACATTATTTGTTTAACTATAGGTTGAAGGCCTGATTACAGATTTTGGGGAGGAGATGCACTGTCAGTTTTATGAAATCCTTCGTTGTTTACTGGATTCCTGCACTTTATCAGGAGCGCAGGTTTGCCCAAATCCATGTTCAAATTATTTTTTTTTGGGTTAAAAACTTCAAAATGATATCTTTTAGTTAGGTTGTACCTCACTCTACTTCGTCCATACTTAGGTGGCATGTTCTTACTGTTGGTCCCCTCTCTCTGTTTTTTCTTCCTCATAAGAAACTGCATTATTAAAGGATCATAAAAA